AGTTATTGGTGTTGTGTATTTAATCTCCTTCTTCTTCTCTTCTTTTTCTCTTAACTTCTGCTTTGATTTACAGAGCGCGAGCTGGGTGAATGGTCTAGCCCAAGAGTTCATGGATAGTGTGAAGGAGCACTCCCTTTTGCAGAGGCAGTGTGACCAGCTGTAGAAAGAGAAGGAGGAGCTGGAGAAAAAGAATAAAGACCTGCAAGAGGCGCTGAACGAGGGTTCCCACTGTGAAACAGCTGGAGCAAGAGAGGGCTTCTTTGAGCACCAAGCTCGTCTTTGAGGAGAGCAAACGAAGAATCTTTGAAAGTGAGCGTGAGGCTCAAGCGAAAGAAATAGCGCTAATGAAGGATGCGTTCGTGGAGCTGAAGGAGAATGTGCAGATGTTGGTGCACAATGGGATGAAGGAGAACATCAGCAACTTCATCAGCTCCAGCTCATTTGACAACATCGTCAACTTGTACCGGCTGCCCACTGCCATCATTGCCTTCACGGACTGCAGGAAGAAGGTGAAGGCTGAATATCCCGAAGTGGATATTACAAAGATCACCTTCGACGAGCAAGAAGAAGGAGTGGAGGAGGACGGTGAGAGTATGTCAGCAGACTTCCATCCTCAGATCAAACTGAGGTGGGAGCATGATGCAGACGGACATGCTGTTTTCCCTCCACAGTTCGACTTCGAGTTCATTGCAGTGGAGGAAGAAGGGGCAGAGGTAGAGGAAGACGAAGTGGAGGCAGGAGTGGAAGGAACTGAAATGGATGAGAGCCAACCAGTTCCAAAAGTGGAGATTCATCCAGTTCCTTCTAACGATGAGCAGCAACCAACACAGCCACCTCTTCCAGCTGAGCAGGAGCCAGTTGGGCCACCTCTTCTAGCAGAGGAATAATTTTTGTTTGTTATTTTTCTTTTATGTCTTTATTGTAACAACAGTAAAACAATCTATTGTAATACTTTTTTCCTTTGAATGCAAATTCAGTTTTGAAATTAGATGTTGTGTTTGCTTTACATTTTTGTTATTTTTATTAATAAAAGAACTAAGATTACTTGAGATATGATTCGAAGGGAAATTAATCATTTCAAAGATGAAAATAAGTTAATCACTTAGGAAACGAACTAAAGAGAAGTAAAATACTTCAAATGATTTAAGAACAAATACATCACTTCAAATGAATTGAAAGGAGATAAAGCACTTCATATGTGAAGTGACGTTTATTAACAGAAATGAGGTTTGAGGAATAAACGATCTGATTGACCTCGGGGACATAGGATAAGGGATAAAATGAATCTCAACAATCACGAAGTAAGAAGTGTAAAGAATCAATAAGACATAGATGACTTGAAAGAATTCTATTATGGGTAAAATTTCTTCAAGTTATTGATATTCCAGACTCTAGGAAATCTCTTCCCTTCAGCATCTTGGAGGATGTAGGCACCAGGATGTGGCACTTCGGCCACTATATAAGGGCCTTCCCAGTTTGGGGCCAGTTTGCCAAAACGAGTTTCAAATCCTGTTAGGCCAGCCTTTCTGAGGACAAGGTCTCCTACTTTGAATGTTCGAGGGCGGACTCGTTTATTGTAGAAGTTGGCTAATTTCTGCTTGTATACAAGAGTTCGAAGTCGAGCTTCTTCTATGACTTCAGCAAGCAGATCAAGGTTTTCTCGAAGCAGTTGTCCATTTCGCCCTTCATCGAAATGGGTGGCCCAGAAGCTTGGGACTCCTATTTCAATAGGAATGACTACTTTGGTACCAAATGCCAGGTGGTAGGGTGTTTCACCTATTTCATGAAATTATATGCTTTAGAATATGCTTTACATATTATGCATATTTGATCTAGGGTAGAATTTTAGGTGAAGAAGGGGGATAGAATGAAAAAAGAATGAAAGGAACTTGGGTTAGAAATAGTACCTGTAGCAGTTCGGCTCGTTGTTCTGTATGCCCAGAGGACGTTGTTGAGCTCATTTGCCCACTTGGCCTTGTGCTGCTCCAACCTCGGCTTTATTCCTTCTAGAATGCATTTATTAACAGGTTCTACCATACCATTGGACTCCGGATGATGAACCGAGGTGAACTGCAATTTGATCTCGTAGCTGGAACAAAAATCTCGGAAAGAAGTGCAGTTGAATTGTGTTCCATTATCAGCTACAATCTGATTCGGGATCCCATATCTGCAAATGATCGAATTGAAAACAAAATCTTCAACCTTCTTGGATGTAAGACTGGATAATGGTCGAGCTTCAACCCATTTTGTGAAATAATTCACGCCGACGATCAGGTGGGTTACACCACCAACCCCTTTCACGAATGGGCCCAGAAGATCCAATCCCCACTGAGCAAATGGCCATGGTGCTACAAAGTTCGTGAGCTCCTCTGCTGGTTGATGAGTCAGATGTGCAAAGAATTGGTACTTCGGGCATCTCTAAACAAAGTGAGTGGCATCCTTATACATGTTTGGCCAGTAATAGCCTTGCCTTAAGACTTTGTGAGCCAAAGTTCTAGCACCAACGTGGCTCCCGCAAACACCTTCATGTACCTCTCGAAGTGCATACTCGGTTTCGTAGGGATTCAAACACCGTAGAAGAGGGAGTGAAAAAGATCTCTTATAGAGGACCCCATTAACGAGTGTATACCAAGATGCTTTCTTTCTCAACTTCATTGCCTCCTGCCTGTTCTCAGGTACTATCCCATCTCGTAAAAAGGAAATAATTGAGTCAGTCCAACTCGGCATGTCTGGATCTGTGCTGATCTCCATTACCCGTGGCTTCATAAAGCTTGGTTCATCTAAAACCTCCACAAAAATTGATCTGGAACTTAAGGAGCTATCAGAGGCGAATTTTGAGAGTGAATCTGCCTGTTCATTCTCAGTTCGGGGAATTTTGCTTAGACAGAATTTCTGGAATTTGCACTTCAGCTCAGCCACTAGGGCTGCATATTTCACCATCACAGGATCAACGACTTCACAAATTGAGTTGGTTTGGTTCACCACCAGCTGGGAGTCACTGTATACTTGGATTGCGCTGATTTTCAACTCCAATGCTAGCTGTAGACCAAGCAGCAGAGCTTCATACTCAGCCATGTTGTTTGTTGCATTGAAGTTAAATTTCAGGGCATGTTCACTTCGGTATCCATCTGGGCCAATCAAGAGAGCACCAGTTCCTGAACCCTTACCACTAGATGCCCCATCAACATATAAGGTCCAGTCGTTTGGTTCTGAATTAGGGGTTGAATGACCCGGAGTGCACTCTGCAATAAAATCTGCCAATGCTTGGACTCAAATTGCAGATCTCTGTTGAAATGTTATTTCGAATTCCCCCAATTCTACTGCCCACTTAATCAATCTTCCAGAGCACTCTGGCTTTTGCAGAATCTGTTGAAGAGGTTGGTCTGTAAGGACAATGATTGGATGTGACTGGAAATATGGCCTCAACTTCCTGGCCGAAGTGACGACTGCTAAAG